AGGAACACACCAACAAATTTTGCAATTTTTGAATATTCAGATATAAAAATGATGCAGGTTTGCTTTTCATTTAATTAAGTTTTATCTATCAAGAACAATATTACAGAAATAATTTGGAGCCCTTTTTGAGAACATTTTTAAAATAATGGGGGTTTAATGTAAAGTATCTCCCTAAACCAAAATACGTTTTGAATTCAAGGAGCCTCAATACCAGCCAGATCAGTCTGGGATTATCAATTTTGGTGAACTCCAAACCAAGTCTCACAAATTTCTAAATTACACACAGACAATGTCTGCACATTTCTATATACAGTAAAGTTTTCCTAATCCAAAAGTCTACTTAATCTGAAATAAAATCAGTGATTTTTTTTAAGGGAGAAATAAAAACTTGTTTACATTAAAAACTAATGGTGTACTTCTGAATAGATTTTTGAAATTTACAAGGAAACTCAAGGACTAATACTATCATTTCTACAGTACAGTAAAGTAATACATTGGTTTGAAAGTCTTACGTATTTAGACAAAGAAGAGAATACATGCTCCTGGGAACTAAATTATGCCAACACCTGAAAAACAGGATGTCTACACTATCACTTCCCCCTTTTTTGTCCCAAAGTAATGTTGCTTGCAAGTGGTATTGTTGCATACATTCAAAACGTAACAGTATGTAGTGTTATAAAATACTTCTCCTTAATCCAAATGGGGTAAGTTCAAATTATTTTGGGTAAGTGGATCTAAACTATTGATCTTTTTAAATGTATAATGAGTATTCATTTATAACTTTCAATTCACATCTACACTCATACTCCAATGCATATGTAATTTTGTATTTTGTGACTTACTTATCAAGGTAAGTATTTATGTAGTTCACTGAATGTTTGTTCATGTGTACACACGTGTGCATACAATTACATGCATACATGCTATATAATTGCTTACCAAACCCATGGGAACAGGGTATATCACAAGGTATCCATTCAAGAAAAGTGAATTTTATTGTTAAAAACGCATTACAAAAATATGGTGATCACCTCATTTAACTTGTATTATTGATTCAGCTTATATTAGATTAAAACAGCTGTAAATATTAGCTAACATCAGTATTTTAGTAATGACATTAACAGCATTAAACAACTTCCTTCAGTTCAACCTTTATATTTTATTTTTTAAATTAAGAAAAGAAAGAACAGGCATAAGAGAACAAATATTTCAACTATGTTAAAATAATACTCTCTTCAAAAGACAATTATTACAAAACAATTCAGAACTAGAAAAATTGAGCAGCTATTAAAAGTAATACAGAACCAAACACAAACCGTGTTTATTTTCACATTCACAAAAATCTAAAAAATAAAATAATTTATAAAATTACGTCCTATCATCGAGGGCTTCCATCTGCTACATTTTCTCAAAATGTAATGTTAAGAAATAGAAACAGCACATACAATATCATAATAAGAGTATTTACTTTGCATACATTAACTTTTCAAGCTACATTCCATAATGTAATGCAGGCTAAAAATACTTGGTCTAGTTATTTATTATCTGTGGTTCAAAATCACCTGTTAGTAAATCGAATACATTTCATGTTCAGATGAGTAATATGAAGCAATATCCAGGTGTATTGTGATATCCCAGCACAACGAATTTCTAACTAAATACTTGTGTGCAACGTTGAGTTTCACAAGTGTATGAAAGCCACAAGCGTATCCTAGTACTTCATGGGTGTATCATCATTCACACTCAAAATACAAGAAAAAAATACAATTGTTATTTATATTTTTCACTGTAATACCACTATAAAGGCTACTTATCTAATAACCCTTCTTTCACTATCTGTCACTCAAATTAAACATTTGATCACTGTTTGCAAACGTACAATAAACTTCCAATTCCACAGAATTTTTAAAGTGTTGGTAAACACCAACACAAAAATTCAAATAGAGAGTACCTTTGAAACTTTTAAATCATTCACTCATTACAAAATCATATCAAAATAACTTAAAATTTTCTGTTATTTTAAATAGATTATTAAATATACCATTGTTTTTAAAATATATAACATTATTGCAAGAATACTGCATTTTCTGACTACATACAAATATTTCATAAGAATAAAGAGGTTATATGAACTGAATTATATGCATAAGCCAATTAATTGGAAGCGGAAGGGGAAAGGAGGGAAAACTGAGGAAGATTGTGCCAATCACAACTCAACCCCAATAACATGATTATTGATGGCTGACCTTAACTCCCTAAATCCAAACCATTATTTTTAATATTAACAAAACTCGCAAAGTATAAATTAACAAACAAAAAAAAAATGTATACTGTCTTTCAGACACTTATAGCACATACGTTAAAGACAGAGGCATGTAGGAGGATCACTAATAAATCCAGAAACTTAGGCATGCATCAACAAACTGAATTTCACATTATTCTCTAACAATATGAATAACAAAATACGAAAGTTCACAGAGTACATCATTTAAATTTTCAAAAATTCCCAGTTATCTAAATCCTTATGTTCTTAAGTCTACCCAAGGAGGGTAGCTGAAGTATACCACGAGACTTCTCTGAATTGATGCGATCTTCTCCCACTCCAGGAAAATGTTGTTTGTAAATATTTGGATATCGCTCCTTAAACTGTAGAAGTGAAAAGATTATGATATGCAAATTTTACTTTATGGACTGAAATGCAAATATTTAAATTGCAGAAAAACTTTCCAAACATAGTTTCACAATATAAATAAATGTGTTTATTGGGGGTGAGGCTCAGGCCATTTAGCCTACTCTTCCGCCAAACCAATTTCAAATTTTTTTTATTACAATAGTGCATGATAAAAAGGTCATTCAATGAGAAATACGTACGCAATTTGGATGAAGGGTTTCTCACAAACACAGGAGTGAAAGCGAGGGAGGAAGGAGTTGATAAGAAAGGAAATGCTCTCACAGCATCTGTGTGATTAAATTTATTAATTTCAAGTTATGGATGTATTAAAATTAATCACAAATAAATCAGATTGAACACTGAGATTTTACTCAAATTTATCTTTTTGTCATTCAGCAAGTTGGATACACAAGAGGATTGGAAAGAACTGGTTTAAATCAGTGGAATGTCAATAAGTACGATTAATTGTTCCAAAGAGGTTTTGAAGTAGCTAAGATTGCATGCATATATTTTAATTACCCCTAAAAAAGCTAGAAAGGGAGGAAATCTTGTCAACAACCAAGCGAAAACATTAAGTCAAGAGAACAATAAGTCTAACTAATTAATTAATTAATTAATTCATTCATTCATTCAAGAGGCAATATCGGTAATATATTCAAAATATTGCAAGTGACAAACTCAATAATAAAATTTACTGTTTTAGTTTCACAAGACAGAACACACAATGCTAATTTTTTCATTTTTTATTTTATGCGAGTAAATGGTCAAGTCTATTTTTGACACATTGACAAATTAGTGAGACAGGCATACAAACATAATTGACAAATTAGTGTGACATAGGCATACAAACACCTGAGGAGGGACTGTAATTACAAGAAAGATTGCTGAGATGATTTGGTTACGAGAAGTGAAGTGGTACAGAATATGTGCAGATAAAGCAGCACCTACAGATGATACGAATAGCTTGCATTCAATTTGAGAAGACGCAATGATGGGAAAGAGGATGGAGATGAAATGAAGTCTTGAATAGACAGGCAAAGAGAAGAAAAACTACAGAAACAATCTTGTAAAAACATGAAAGGCAAAGCACAAGAAGGAAATAAAAATAAAGAATTGAAATGAAGTAACAGAAAAGGTACAATATAAAGTTCTACATGGGCAAGTTGCAAAGGTATGTAATCAAATCAGTTTAAAGTTTCTTTTAACTTGTTAAAGAAACATTCTGAACACAGGAAAAGCAAAATATGCATTACAGATTTATAAACAGAGAATTTAAATATCAACTATTGATATGTTCAATGCTCAGAAGTACACTATAGTAAGCAGTTATTCAAAATTTATCTTAACTAGCTTACGTTATTTATATTTTTATGAATTAATTAAATAATATATTTATATTATTTGGTTATTTATATTTTTGTGAATAAAATGAGTTTTCAAGCCAACTTAATTGCAATTTTTACATAAAATCTACAGAAATATAAATAATTTTTGAAACTCAAGATAAAAAATAGCTGAATAACAACTTTTAATTACTTGTTCCTCGCTTTAACAATATTTTTGCAGAGCTTTCATCACTAATAGGTAAATAAAAATCTGCTTAAATTGATATTACATATGATTTTTCAACATAATTCTTTCCCTCCAAAAACTTTTTGACTTCTTACAATAGCTATCTTTCATATTTTCTTCTTGAAAATCACTTGAAAATATATGAAAAATTTCAGCACAGCAAAAAGTCACGTTTTGATACATAGTATTATTATTCTTTTATACACGTACCAATTTTAACTTCCTCTTCTTTTCCTTTTCACCCATTCTTTTATCACTCAATATCTGTTCTAAAAGTTCCGAGAGTGCTTTTTGGGAGCCAGACAGACCTTGTTCTTCAAATTGTTTATTCGTAACTTGCTCACAGTACGTAACCTAGAAGACATACAATTCTTTTAAAGCTACAGACTAGTTACCTTTAGAAATAAGTTTCAGTAATTGTTTCCTACCAAGGCATCAAACTGTTCCAAATAATATTCTTTTTCAGTTTCAGTAAAAATATTTCACATTTAGTTTCAGTTTTTGATAAGAAAAAGTTTGTTATGGTTTTGAACTTCCAAACAATTTTCTTATCTTTTATAAATGTATTCTATTATTCTCATTTCAGCCTTGGCCACTGTCGTGCAGATCCACACTCCACCTCAACCTCATTTTTGAGCAAATTTTAGCCCATAGGAATTCCCTTTATAATTGGATCTCCTTTCAGTTTGCTCAACACCGTCTGAACTGCCATCTGTAAACACCAGGACTTGCAGGACACCACCGCTCCCGGGAATGGCATACTTACTCGTTCACTCTTAATTTTAATCCACATGTCATAGTTGCTCCTTTCACAATAATTCCTTATTCCAAACAGTGAGTACAGACTACATGCAGTATTTACCCAAATATGACTAGTTTTGTTTCTAAATACCTCAATTTGACAATTATTAATTAATTGAAGATTAAACCACGTTGGATGGCATTAGATTTGACACTGGCTTTTCATGTCAAGAAATTCGAATGCTGACTTAACAGTAAGGTGGAAAGGTGATAAATATCAAATGTATTGATTATATCTAATTATATTCACGGCATGGTCTCTTGGCATCCACCATGGATTTGCCAGGTGATTCAGCAAATATTTTAGAATGGACTGGTAAAGAGAGAATCTCAAACAAATGGCGTAGTAAATTGAACACAACATGAAAATGAATAAAAATTGTTGCTTAAATTTTGTTACACAAGGACATGCGGATTCTCTTCGGTATGCCCAAGGAGTGTGAATTTGTATTTTGCAGGAGATTGAATTGAAAAAGCTCATATAGTCAGGACTACACATTCGAAACCCAAACAGAGATGTGAAGATAACACGATGAGAATCATGAACAAAAATTCTTGGAAAATATTTCCAAATGTTAAAATAACATCTTTCTTTCTCTGTCAGACGTTCATGCGTAGAATGGGTGCGATGCTGTATCACGCAGATTTAAATAACGTATTAAAATGTTTAATGGTAGTTAAGAATTGGAGGCTATTAACAAGTACACATCAGGTAGAAAAATCTTGCAACAGAGTAGGGACTGTTGGACCCCCTGTGGAGTCAGGTGTAAGACTAAAAACGCAAATTCAACTTGCAAAACTTTCAGGACTAGTGGTGGTGGAGGAGGATGGGAGAAAGGGGGAGGAAGACCGCTACGAAGTCAGAACGACCTAGTACAAGAGGACCAGAAAGGAAGAAACAATGATGCATCTGAAGATGGAAGTGGCAAACACGATCATGATTAATTTAAGGAATGTGACAATAGGAATAGCTGAGGCAAAACACAATTTGCTAGTTATTCAGACTATTTGAGATTTTATTTTTAATTAAAGTTAAGAATTAGTTCAATATTTTAAAAATTCACAGGAGACCTCTTCAAAATCACAGAGCCATCTTATTTGAATAACTATGGTCTTATTTATCATAAAAATTATACTATTGTCTGTTACTTCTTTCTAAACATTCATAGTGTGAGGAAAGATTTCAAAGAGCGAGGGTAAGCTGTTACAACCATTTACCATTTGATTCAGGGAAGTGGATATTGTAATGTTTGTCCTTTACTTCTTTTGTTCAATTTTGTAAGAATGATCCCCCCGGCCGTAGTATGTAGTCTCTCGATGTCTTGAATTTTACCCCATGCGGGTTCTTCTGTTTAAGCTATCAATACATCACAAAGCCTGGCCTTTCTCTACAAGATTTTAAATATCCCCAAATCAGTACCATGAATGTGCTATGTTTCCCTAAGAATTTTTGTGCTCAGCACTGAATTCCATCTAAGCAGTCTCTTTGTCCCATTCAGTAATGATTCCCGCAAGCTGCTCTGTATTCTAAAAGAGGATGAATAAATGTAGAAGTTAAACTCTTTGTTCAACATATCATATCTCTTCCTCATTCAAAGTTTTCACAACAAAACAAAAAACACACACATCCAGCATATCAAGTTCACACAAGTATGAATATATTTTAAGAATTGAAACTGTTTTATTTGGTAACAGTTTCAGCAATATACTTAAAAAAATTTTAATTTCACATTAAAACTGTGCTAATGTTATTTGTTTGATGCCATGATTTTTGGGAAACAAAATTGCATATTCTTATTGACAAAAAAATTCTATCAAGCACACAGACATTTAAAAACAAAAGAAATCACTTTACAGAAATAAACACTCACCCTCTGAGCTTGAGCTAGCTGATTCAAATGTTTAGAAACTGATGTCTGTAGATCCACAGGAACCTCAAAAACTTCTTTATAAAAAGTAACGAGGAATTTCACAACCCTATATGGTACTGCTTTATCATTTTCCTGTTCATTATTCAAAACATTGGGAGTCATAGACTGAATGACCTGTCGAAAAAGGAAACCGATATTGAATAGTTTTAAGAGCTGATCGTAAAAAAATGCAATATTTAAAGCCCGCATCCTTGATTACAGAAACTAAAAAATTTGACCTTCACACAGAATTCAATAAAGCAAAATTAAATACACAGGAAGCAATTTTTAAACAAAGAAAACATGATTAGAAATCTTAAAATTTCAATTTTTTATGGAGAAAGAAATTCACATCACTAATGATTTATTTTAAATGGGATTTGTAATGAGACTTAACAAGAATGAACGCACATAGGAGTACTATCACTCCATAAAGTTCCATACTCTTTACAGAAAGGTTAGTAACAACACAAAGGTAGGTGGCAACACAAGGTTTGGGAGAGACATGTAATCAGTACTAAAAATAAGCAATTAATTTTAATAAATGTAAGATAAAAGCTTTTTAAAGCACATTACCTGCATAGCTTCCTCAGTATTGATAGCAGTAGGTAAATGATGCAAACACCGCAACAACCTTTTCAATAAGCAACGGCTACCTGGTGATAACAGGAGCAAAAGTAACTGGAATACTGAAATTCCTAAGCCAAGAGCTGGTTGCTTCCATTTGCTTTGCTCATGTTCTTCTGTGCACAAAAATTAGATTTACCACAAAACAAGCGATACCTAACAAAATAATGTTTCATGAGACTATACTTACTTGTGAGAGAGACATTGGAATACTTTTGTCTATCAGGTGTAGAAGCAGCAGTATAATACGAACCACTTTCACTACTTAAATCACATGAACTTTCCTGTAGAACTACTCTGTCCTGCAAAATGTATTATTGTCATTTTTTTAAAGTTTCTCTATTACTAAGATTATTAAGTCAAAAGAATGCTTGTAATCATGAACTTACATTTCTTTTGTCATTCATTGTCATGTGAGTATGCTGCATTAGTGTCTGCAAAGTCTCAAGTGCTGCAGCATAATCTAATTCTTCACAATTAAATTTCTGACTAGATAAATCTTCCAATGACTGGGACAATGCAGGGTTAACATACCCTCCTGACTTATTTCTGCAATGTTGCAATCCAGAACTTTTTTGACCTGCTTCTGACAGTTTCCTAGTCATACGCCATCGACGCCCGCTACGATGAGATTTTTCTTTAATTGGATTATCTACATTACTGCTACATACAGCGTCTTTCATATCCTGAGAACTTTTACTCCGCCACATACTTCTTGGAGGGTAGACTTCTCCAACCAAGCCACCAGAGTTAACATTTCTATCATAACATCTAATTTGTTCTTCAGGTGGGAGTCTTTCACGTGATGACCTAAAGCTTCTAGAATACGTATTTTGGCGGGAGAAATAAACATCTTTTATAGTTGACTGTGGCACTATTCTTGTTATCGGAGATTCTGAAGCAAAGGCTGTTTCGTAACAGTAAACTGCTGATCCAGCAGTCATTTTGTTCTGTGTTTGCCGTACATTCTTCACATCAGACGCACATGGACTTGCCATACCCAAAACCAAATTTTCTACAGATCTACTGGCAAGCATTGATTCCCTCGTTTTACACATAAACTGTGTACTAGCATTATTAATATGCTCTACATACAGATAGGCCTCAGTGATGAGACTGTACAAATCAGGAGAAATCAGAGGTTCTTTAACCCCTGAGAGTTGTTCTCTGTAATTATTGATAATATCCTCTGGCCCTGAAAAGAAAAAAAAAATGTTACAAATATGCAAAACTTGAGTTATACAATCAATAATTAATTCTCCACATAATTTTCTGATGTACATCAATACATGATTCACGATTGCAATCTTTGTGTTATATGCATGTTAGAACAAGGGACACCTGGAAGGGGGTAGGCAGCTGAGACAACTTGCCACAGGCTCAGATTTCAATGGAGCCCCAAATATTTTTTTATTGAAAACATTAAAAATTTATTTACCTAAAACTCAAATTAACCACTATAAGATATTTCTGTTGCATGGAGGGAATTTCAATTATGTACGGGGTTGGGAATGTTGAGAGAAGGACCCCAACTTGTTTTCTCAGAACAAAAAAATTTGGATATGTTTTGGAGAAAAAGAAAAGAAGACAAAGAAAAGGCCTATACTTCATGAAAAATTACATGAAAACTACTCATTTTCAAAAATTGTACATGAACTTATCTGCAGGTCTTTTAAGAACAAATTTGATTCAGAAAAAATTATCTTTCTCAATATTGTAATTGTAAGACGACGCCAAAAAAAATTGAACTTTTGTGATTTTCAACAAATTAGGGATTTTCATAAATGAGATATGCACAACAAAAATTGGATTCATTTTTGAGAAAATTTTGAAAATATCTTTGAGTTTTTCCTAGAAGTACTCCCTTAATTATGGTATTTACATTGATACTGAGAAATAACAATTGCTTTTCAGTATCAATGAGCCACTAAACCTGGATTCTGACTGCATTGCTAACGTGAGAAAGTAATTAACATTTCAAAGCATGAGAATTCTGCTTTTTTTGTTTTTAGGGACAAACAAAATGAATTTTCCTGTTGAAACAAACTTTCCAGTTAAAAATCTGTAATTTTTCTGCACCATTACAATACTGTCTATACTATGATGTAGCACATGAGAAAGTAATAATGAAATATATGTAAAAAAAATGTGGCGAAATGTTCCTGATGGCTGTAAGACAGAGAATTTGTAGATTTACTGCTTGAATCAGGAGTAAGATTGAATATTTGTGCTTTTCTGCAAGAATGGTCACAAAAAACTGCTACAATTAAATACATATAGTTTTTCAAAAATATTGAAAAAAATACAATAAACTTCTTTCATATACAGTTGACTCCTGTTATAATGAACTTCTGGGGACCAACATTTTTGGTTTACTATATCCGATAATGTCAAAATTAAATAAAATTTCTCTATAATGATTAATTTTCTTAATGTAGAGATACAGCGAAATACATCAACATGAACAATTATTTCTATATCTTATTTGTACATAAAACTCAATTATATTCAATTGTTTGCTTTGTTCACTTTTCATTAGTAATTTCTCTAGATCCTTCTCCAGAGTTCATGCTCTCTCCACACTTGAAACTGCATTGTCTTCAATATCTAAGTATTGTTAACACAGTCTTCACACCATCAATGCCACTTGCACTGTTGGAACACCTCCCTATTCTCTGTAGTCCGTTTACTTGCTTAATAACACTCTGTAGTCCTTTTACTTGCCTAATAACATAACATACAAGATTCTTTCGGCTCCAGGATGGCACAAGCGACTAATGAAACTGATCACATTGGCACGCGGCAAGGCGGATATACCAGGCTGTAGCAGTCACATGCTTCCTATCGCCTACAGAGAACTCAATGGCTTTGTTCCATCGAATATCAAGTACCACCAAGCTTGAAATTGAAGCCAGCAATTGAAGGACATGACCTGTGTTTCCACAGTGAAACTGAATGGCATACGGTCATCAGTAAGATCCCCATTCCGGGTCCCCTACCTTCCCCTCAGAGGAGAATTCTTCGATTATGACCTTTGGCCAACGATAATCTTTTCAAGCTGCCTGGTGTTGGAATTTGTGGCACCAAGTGAATATTTTCTTTTCCAGGAGGAAAATAATTTTTAGAAGGTTGTATTCCTATTCAGTATAGCTGAGGTGCAGGTTCACTATAACCTGAACCTCGCTTATTTTTATGCGTACTTTCAGTAAAGTAAGTGAACCGGAACAAGAGGCATAAGTTTACTACAACCAAGGGTTCATTATATAGGATGGTATATTGGAGTTCACTAAAACCAGAGTCGACTGAATATTGAACATATCTCAAGACTATTTTTGTTAGAATTTTTACAATACTAGTGGCATGTTTGAACAAATTTCAGAATAATTAAATATTGGAATCACAAATTGAGGTAAGTGAAAAGTTCCTTTTAAAAGATATTTTATTCAAAATAATTACAATGTTATTTATTTGTCCAAATAAAATTTTTCCAATATGGTTATATGTTCACTAACTTCTTCCTCATGTTATATTGTTTTAAATGTAGATACTATATGTGCAATGATATATTAATGCTTTTTCTGCCCTTTTTTCTACTTAATTTTAATTGTTTTATGAACACAAAATCCAAATTTGTATCAACAAAAATTTGATGTCTCATTATTAGTTACAAAAGTTAGTGAAAATAATAATGTAAAATAAGGTCATCATTTGAATGGAAAGATAATTAACATACTACTCAATAGTTCTATTATGTCGAACTACAACTATTCATTAGATTGAAATAAACCACTATAAATATATGCAGAAATGTATTTAACAATAATAAAAACAAAACAAAAAATACTGATATCCATAATATAAGTCATATGTAAAGAAACATTCACTCCTAGACTACGCAAATTACACCTAAATTATTTTTCATTCTGTATACTGCTATCAAGGTGTAAAAAGTTTGTTGTCAAATATTGAAACAACAGTCCTACCATTCACAATGTCTTTCTATTCTCACCTCCCCCACACTTTTCAACAACCATTAGACATAAAACATGTACAATAAAAATGATATATTTTGCAGATCAACTCAAGGGACTGAAGCAATCAATATACAATGAAATCAACATAAAAACAACTTTTGATTGAATGAAATGTATGTATACACATGTGCACTTGTGCATGCACACAAACACACACTACTACACAACTTATTATTCATAAATACTCACATTCATCTAGTCCACTCTCGACACTAGATGATCTTGGTACTGTATCCATTTGATCCTGAACATTTCTAATCAGCCAATCAATCCTAAAATTAGTAGGTAGAAGAGATGTAATTTCCTCCATTCCAGCCAGCACAGTCTCCAACCTGAAAATTATATTATTAGAAATATAACTTGTTATCATATTAAAAATTAATTTCTCTGCAATAAAAAGAACCGTTAATAACAATAAAACAACAAATAGCTATCACATCCATCTAAACACGGAATTTGGAAGGAACAACAACCCTTGCCATCGAGGAGTTCAGGCACTTACCACAAAGCTGCCACCATCCACTTGCCCATATAATGGAAGATCTGTTTCAAGAGGAGTATCGTCAGATTATCCACCTCTGAGTAGACATTAGCAGTCTAAAGACTGAAAGAAAGCACGCTGAAGAAATCCAAGAAGAGATACTCAAATGATTTCATAAAAAAACAAAGACCAAAACTGAAGTAATTGAGACATTGAAACAATTAATGTTTACAGCAAACAAACTAATGCTACCCCACTGAAGCTAAACTAATATTGCCAAGCAAATCTGTTCCAATACAACCAATGCAATTCTACCAGAACATCAAGTGAGAGCACACCCAACAAGAAGTACTTCCCCTTCTTACATTACAAAAAACTATGGAGTTCAGGCACAAGCTATGTGACAATCCTGTGAAACAACCATGGATTGAAACAGTCAAGGCAACACTAAAGTAAATTGGTTATAGATAGATTGAAAAATATGAAAGGTGATGGTTAATCTGCGAATGGAGATTAAGTAAAATTGGCCTACATAGGGCCCAGGCCAAGCCCATACTAACTGGCTATCATTCACCCCAAACTCGCTCAGTGGATGGATAATCAACTTCAAACAGGCATACCACAACAGCAGGTGAATACAGGATAGATGACTATCACCAAAACTTGGAAGACGGGAGGTGTACCCAAGAAAATGCTCATCTTGTCCGAACTTTCTAGCTTTTCAATCACTTAAGAATGTTATAAGGTTATAAAAATAAGGTTAATCAGTTTTCATCACTTTTTCCACACATCACTAACGATAAGTTTGGTGACTTGAAACCACATCCTCTGCTTCATGGCTTGGTCTTCAGCTTTCATGCAAAAGAAACATGATCTTAAGAGAACCCTAAGCAAGCATTTTGAACACTTTAATAAGTAACACACTAAGCAAAAGGCCAAAAGCTGTATCTGAAAAAGGGGATCATATGAAGGAGTTGTGTGCTGTAGTTTTGTTCTGAGTGGCCAAAGTGTACAAAACAAGTAAAGGGTTCTCAATCGGCTGCATGATGAGCAGGTTTTCAAAATGTAAGGTTCAAAATGCCAGGAGGGTTCTTGAATAAGGTGCACATTATGAACAACCTTCATGGTGTGCACTGGGCTTTGAACCCACAAGTATAAATGCAAATTTTGATATATTTATAGTAAGACCATTTGTAATAGACCATACAGAAACATTGATCATATCGTTATTAAAGATACCTAGGGCTATGGGGGAAAAATGTGATGAGATACAATTTTAGAAAAAGTTGGATGTCATAAGTTAAAATTGTAAACAAAATATCAAGACTCAGCAAATCATCTACAAAGATTAAAATGTCGGTCCAAGAAATAACTGTTTACTAATTATAGTGAAGGTTTTTATAATTTCTATGATGTATTGCCCCTTGCTGTAAGGCCACATAATTATGCCAGTGGCCATCAAAAGCAATTAGTAAATTCCATTGCAGCACCTTTCAGAACAGATAACACATTTGATTAAATTAGGAATCAACTTATTCACAATGTTGCTAATGGCAGGTTTTTTATGCTAGCTGCAGCAGCAGCAGTGTAAAAAAAAGACTTGTCTCGCAAAATGCTGTGGAATATCATGGGACATGATCTGAAGCAACCCGCTTGCGAGGATATGTTTACTTTCTCACAGCCAAGGTTCAGTGTTGCTGCTCATCTGACTCGCACAAAGTCGCTGAGACTATAAGGTTTGGCTTTGGCAAAAGTTATGAACATATCAAGACATGAGATAGCCTGTCAGTAAGTGTCAATGTTTTGACATTTCATCTATCTTTGATGTAGGTGGTGCCATGTGCATAGTAACAACACATAACTACCCACATCAAGAGACCAGTTGGGAGCTTAGAGTTTGTCCCAGCTGGAGCAGTGCCCCTTTGGGGAGATACTTGTAGAGGGAAATCCCCTGCAAGCCAATGTGTAGGTTGGGGCCAGACCTTACCATCCAGTGGGGGAGGAACACCTCCACCTTCAGGTACAAAAATATTCACTACCTTAATGGGACTACCACAGCAGTTGACATGCCCACAAACATCAATCAATCTAGAACGAGAGATGTAAGAATTTCCAAATCTTTGAAAATGAATCTGAAAAATACTGGCATTTTAATTTTAGCTAACATACATACAAAACTGCTATAATTAATTAGCATTAATTCTTACCGCAAAATAAATATCATCTTCCAAGCATCCCGAATTTCAGACTCTGAACTTGACACAAGAGTGTTGACAGGTCCAGGTGGAGCTGCATTTCCAAGTGGTATATCTGTCAACTTCTTATATCCATCATTTAATATCTGTTTCTCTTCGATTGAATATTTGGCTGTTTCATAACGATTATTTTCTCTAGAGGAAAATTGAGAATTGGTATCAGACATAATTTTTTCAGCAGGATCTCTTCTATAATGTGAATAAGAATGGGGATCATAATTTCCTCTGGCATCATGCATTGCAATGACGTTACTGTGCAGTGGTTTCAGAGGAACTGAAGGATAACCGGGTCTGTGTTCCATATTCACTACAGTAGGTGCGTTGCCAGGATGAGTGTACAGTGGGTATTGCTGATAATTTTCATTATGTCCCACTGCCCTAGTCTTTCTCATACAAACCGTATCATTGTTAACTGTTCTACGAGGAAATTTACATAGATCAGACGTTCTTTCCTGATATGACACAGGAACATTCAACTTATCCTCATAGATCATATGGCATGCAGATTCATAGGGAGGAGATCGATGTGTCGAACTTGGGTAACTTTTGGCATGAGTATGTCTATCAAAATGGGTGCAGGAGTTCATGGTGTTTCTAGGAATACTACGTGCTTCATGCTGTGGATATTTCTGTTCTATATTCAAATTTTGGTTGGCATCATACCTATTTGTGGCACATGTATTGGAGAGACTTGTGCAAGATTCTAACCGTCGTTGTGGTTTTTTAGGGGGAATTGGTATAGAACGTGTTGAATCGTATGGCTGGGAAGAAAACGCAGGATTTTCCTTTTGTATTTTATTTTCACATCTGTTCAAAATATGGCCAGGTTTCTCCATATGAGTAAAGCTTTCCTTTCTTCTGAGAACCTGTTTCATTTCAGTGTTATAATCTTTAAAAGTACAATTTTCAAGTGGAATCCTAGAATTTTGTAGGAAAGGCGGCATGTTATTAGCAGGCAACACATTTTCTTTCTTGTTAACATTCATTGCTTTTCTTGATTCTTGTAATCCTACTTCAACCGTCTTTGCTGGTGCTTTGGTATAGTCATGGGATGAAAGAAGATGGAAACCATTATTTTGAGACGAAAACCTGAAAAAGAGAAGCATCAGTGCCATTTCAATTAAATGCATGTTGGCTTGTTTCTTCCTCATTTTATAATTCCACATTAAGCAGAAGTACCTTCTTAAAAACAACCAACAAAATATTACATAAACTAAGTAAAAGAAAGGTCTCATATCAGAAATAAAATTGACAGCAGATAATACAGCATATGGAAGATAAAAGAAACCTATTTCAGCATGCAATGTAACAAATGAAGTAACGATAAGGGAGAAATGAAGTATTACACAGCCAACATCTTGCTCCCAATGAAATAAAAATCAAATAAAGAAAGCTTACTGGTAAATTTCATTTTCTTTGAACTCCTGAGCATCAGAAGAACACACAGAAGAAAATACCCCAGCCTTCATAAATTTGTTCAGCAGTTGGCGAACTTGGGTCTTGCTTATACCTGGTTTAATATTTGGATTATCTTTCAATGCTAACTGAAGCCACTGAATAGCCTCAGCACCACTAAAACAATTTTCGTAAACTTTCATGTGTCTTCTGTGTCTTCTCAGAGGCATACCGTGCTTGAAAGTATGAAGCATCTCATTCCACTGTAACAAGACCAACCAAATTTCAAACCTGTTGATTTCAAGCACTGAAATGAATAATAAAAAATCACTGAAGAAAAATAAATGGAATAAAAAATTAAAAGTTATAAATTTAATAGTAATTCATACTACACATAACTAAACAAAAATACCACAACCAGCTTGAGGGTTAAGGCAACCTAAATCATTTTTCCCTTGATTTTCAAACAACTGTCATTGTCGTCATCATCATCACTGGTGTAACAATTTGTTAAACTCTACACACCAGAGGGTCTCATAAGGGTAATGTCCCCCCCCCCCCAAAATTATACCCAGCCTTATTCCCAATTTTTTGGACTTACGGTATCATAAGGTAACAGATCAAAATACACTGAATCCACAATTTAACTTGGAAGCATTTTCTTATTCTATTTTGAACTTTCTGAACAGACACACTAATTATATACAAAATCAATTGTATTGCATATATTCATTTTGTCAGAAAACGTTTAAATCCTTTGACATGACCACTTTAAAATGCATTATACTTCATCTTGGAGTCACTTGAAGTGGTACTTACTACCACTGCAAGAAGGAAGAGGAGAGGGGGAACATACCTGCACACATATTTTGGCTTAAAAGTGAATTAGTAATCATTGTTTAAGTAGTAAGTCTACTCCTCTTAGTGGTGAACTGTGGCATAATGTGTTTTTTATACCATTTTCATTTTTTCATTTCAGCAGGTATGTAAAACAAAATTTCATTAGTTTTTTTGTTTTAGTCAAAATCAACATTTATGTAATTCGCACACGCGGAAGGGCAGAGGGTCATCTCCAACTCAGAAATGCACAGTGAAGTGTCAATTGGTCCCTAAAAGTATTTTGGTGTAAAAATGTACAAAATTTTGCAATTTCCACTATTAAGGTTGTTTTGGGTTACTTTTATATAATTAAATGTTAAAATAGGGTAACCATACTTCCATTAAGGAAAAAGAGGGCATTTCTTACAAAAGAGAGGACACTTCACGTAGAATGTTCGAGTTCAATTATTAATTTTTCTCAAAGACAAAATAAATACTTCAATTCATTACTTTCACAATCACACAATAGGCACACTTCTTTATCATTACTGTCTTTTCCATTTTTGTACCACAAGGATTTGGTAGATGATGAAATCTCCTTCAACATTTTTTTATTTCCCAAAAAGTAGTCATACAGGTTAAACGCTTCAAGTTGTATTGAACACACATTAAATTTTAAATATGTTTAACCCGCTTCAATCTTTGGACCACTGTGCATTTAAAGGAGAAAAGATGTGGTTGTGTTAGCATTGTGACTAGAGACTGCAAAATAAAATTTGTAAATTTTAAGGACTTTAGAATGGGACACAAAACTTTGGGACTGAAATATTGATGGTAACTTCATAGGGTCAGCAGAACGGTATTAACACAACAGATCACGGAACGTATAACCAGCACCAGCATACAATAAATTGTACAATATGTTTTTGCCGCTGACTGCAGCACTACTGTATTTCATGAAGTAAAGAACATAAATGTACTAGACCTATAGTTTTCTAAGGATTTTGGTGGTTGCTAGACAAGATAGTTGAAGTTAAATGTCATACAACAAAATGTTATGATGTCAGGGACTTGAAAAAAGTGCAGTATACTTCATATATCATACATTAAGGTTGCATTTGGAAGTAGTTTGCCTTTTCCAATAAAAAAAAAGACATTCTTTCTTGTAAAATCCACCATGACAGTTTTTCTCACTATTAAAAAAAAGAGGACATGTCCGGGTAAAAAAGGATGTACTGCTTAAGTAAGTACTAGTTAAAAACAGATTTAGCCACTGGAGAATGACCCCACTGAAATAAAGATTTACTGGAAATTTTCCTGCAAATCCACATATTACAGGCCATTTAAAATGTGTACATAGAGGCACTTAAGTATTATGAGCCCAAAGCCAGCTGATAACTCATCCTCTGGTTTAAAATATAGTAACTCAAGAGGAGAGGATTTTTTCTTCTGGTATTTGGCAACATCAATATATCCAAAAACCAGATAAATCCTTTGTGAAAATTCACAAGCTGTCAACTATATTAACTTCTATTCACAATTAACGTTTCTGCCTAAACCTTTCTTAATATTATTACTTCAAAACATTTAGAATAATCAAGATTTATTTTAGATAGTAATGTATTGTTTCTTCTTTTATCTGTTATGAAAAAGCAAATTCATTTTTTGGACCTTTCAGTTTTCAAAGAAGTTAAAATTGAAGATTACACCTGAAGAAATAAAATAAAAAAAACTAGAGGAAAACATTTTAACCTTTCTACTAGTGATATATAAATTGTGTTTTGAAAATATTACCATGAAACCTAAAAAACATTTAAGTACTTACAAATTAAACAATTCTCAATAATTTTTACTGACATCCTCCCAAAAAACAAATTAAGTGATATGCCAAGCCAGTTCTAGGACAATTGCATGATTGTTGAAGAAATGAATTCTTGAAGATGCAACCTCGCTGAAATGGTTTGAAACTAATGATTGGGCACTGCAATTTATAATATTTTTTTAAATTTATGATCACCATCAAAAACAGCAATCAAGACTAGAATGAATTATTGCACAAAATCAAATACTAAGCAATGTCAAAATAGAATATTACATTTTCATGAAAAAGGCATTACATAATCGAGAATTTTGAAAAGCCCAATGATAAACGACATCACACATCATGAATACTTCATTTGTGTGGGAAGTTCTTCAAAAAAATGTTAGGATTACAGATAAAAGTAGATAATACACTCAAATTAGGTATATTTCTTCCAGCACATTTACTTCTCTTTAAAAATATAAAATATCTAGAGTATGTAGCAAACTACATAATTTACAATCTGATAAACTTGGCACTCATAAACTTCACTTTAAAGTTCGATAACACAACCTTAATTTTACTTGGGACGACAACTTTCGTTTGGTTATAAATCACACTATCGAAAATATAACCATGGATCATAGAAAAAACTAACATTTGCCCGAGGTCGACACAACTCACCAATTTTGTTGCTCTATAAGGACCATCCATTATCAAAACACGGAATTCTAGAAACACTAACACATGCACTTCTTAAAGTTGGGTTTCGAAAAATGTATTTTTCATTCCGTGCACTTTTCCGATATTATACACTATTGTATTAATTTTGCTACACGAATTACATTCGAGACTGCACAGGCTGGTTACCGGTTATTTCTGACTTGTCTGACTTTCAAACTTGAATGTCAGGAGAACAACTGAATGAAATCAAACAACAGAGGTACCAACATAACCGACTAAACCAGGGGTCCAAACCAACCGTCATAAATATACTCCGGATTGCTCTGCTCTGCAGTGTATCTGCGGTGGTCTTCGGTCAGCGTTGGTTCTCTGAGGTGTCCGAGACCTAGCCATCCCACGTCCAGCATTGAGTTCTCAGATATTTATGGGAGAAATTTGCGACAAAAAAAATTCATTCAATACCTAATTTAAGCAACATGTTTCTCGTACACTGAAATTAATTTATTTGGCTAATACAGTTCTTTCCCTTCATAGAGTTAGTGTAAAAAGTATTCGAACACTAGTGCATGATTGTGATTAACAATGATTGTGACTATTACACAATCATTAACTTACTGTCAATATTTTCAACATAGTACTAACCTAAGTGATCGGGAAAAAATAATACCAAAAAGAACTAACGGTGTTACGTACTTTCTAATATCAGTAAAGATTACTTAAAACTACAATACCACAATTTCTGCCGATATAACCACATCTCAGCCTTCGCATGTAAAACTCATTACCAAACGTAGCGCATTAGGCGCAAAAAAATCCATTTAAACGTAATATATCAACACAAATTAGACAATTAAAAACTTCGTTTCATACACCCAGAAACACCGCCCAACGTTGGGAAGTAATTCTAAGAAGTTGAAACTGTCGTGTTCCTATTGTTGCATCGCAACCTAATGACCTCAGAAATATTATAGCACAAGAAGTGCCAGAAATTCAAATTTCAACACTCGAAAATGCAAAATTACGCTAAAGTTCTCATATTTTTAAAAAAGAGTAAGTGATTTTTTTAATCTAATTTTTAACACAAATTTCATTTAACAAAATATCTCTATCAAAAATATTGCATTTTTGCAATTTTCGAGAATAGAGTTCTTCAAATATGGGACCAGCACCATTCTCTTCACCGTTTTTTGCTGCATGGGAGAAGAATATTTAAAGAAAAATGGAGCCGTTTTAGAGAAAATTATTATTTTTGTAAATTGCAATAACTTCAAGTAGAAATTACGTGAAAACTACCAGTTTTAAAAAATATATATATTTAGTGACAAGATTTATCTCCATCTCGATCAGGTTTTGTTCAGTTTCCCTGGTCCTTTGAGCAAATGCTGAGATGGCCCCTTGTTGGCTTCCCTGAACAGTAATGTAACTTCGCGTCTCTCCACGCAAGCATCATATTGGACTCGTCATACAACAGATGTAATTGTATAATGTGACTCAATATAATTTATTATATCTTATTCATTTAAATTATTATTTATTATTATTATTATTATTATTTATTATTATTATTATTATTATTATTATTATTATTATCGCTTCTCCGTTACCAGGGCCCGGGAATAAGAGTTTTTCTGACGAAAATTCGTCGTTTTCTGGCGCACGATTACAATACTTTCTTTTCTCACGAACGGCGAGAATGTAAAAAGGGAATACAATATGTTATATCAAATTTATAAAACTTTTACGTTCAAACAACGTAAATCTATACAATTGGAAATTACTTTAATAAAACATTTATTACGCCATTTATAACTAATGCTACAGTACGGCACAGACTTTGTCGTAGGTACTTCTTAGTTTTCACATCTCTAGACTATGCTAACTTTTGGGTTTTTGCTATATATTAGCGCCGCAAAGGTATTTTCCCTCATTTTCTCAATTTTTGGGTCCCCTAATAATAAAATTGAAATATTACTTTAAGAATGTTACAGAAGAGTAAATCTGTCCTTATAAGCAAATTTTCATTGGAAAACTTGATACCGGTTGGGAAAAATGTCATATGAGCGTTTCCGAAAATGCTCAATTTTGAGCTAATTTTAACAAAAACGTTAACCCAAACAACAGCGTTCATGTGACCGAGTCAGGGCGCCTCACGTAATCATTTGGGGGTAGGGGGAATCATATATTTTTGTTAAATAATAAAAATTTGTTATTATATTGTAAATATTTGTACTGTGTATATGATACTATAAAATTTTTAAAAAAATACTTAACTATAACAGAAATAAATATTTAAATAAATTGTTGCAAATAAAAAAGGTAACAAATGTTTATCTCTAGGCCTTTTAAGGGACGGCCCCCATGCCCTCTCCCCCTAGATTTGCTACTGATCATAGCACATGTTAATAACCCATAATTACAAGAAACCCAATAGTACCTATGTACACAATTTCCCTTCTGAGGAATATTTAAGATTCACCAAGTAGTGATCCATTGATTTATCGAGGCAGGAAAAGCAAGATATATTATATATTTCATATTTTCTTGCATTGTTAGGCATTTAGAAAAAAATTATTATGAACCGTATAAAATAATGAATGAAACAAACTCAAAGTAAGAAAATATTCAAAATAAATAAATTTGCGGAATGCATTTCTCCATGCATCAAAAACATCTTAGATCGTTAGTTTAGGATTAGATATATATTTTCCATTTCTTTTGAATGAAAAAATACTTTCGGGGCCTCAATTAACTAGGGGCCTGGGGTAAATGGCCCTACCTTCCTCCCCCCTTCTGGACGCCCTTGCATATAAGATACACATTTCCTCTTATATATATATATATATATATATATATATATATATATATATATATATATATATAAGAGGAAATTGACATCTTATTGTTCGATTTTTCGCGTATAAGCCAGCTCGGACCATGCGTGCATCCTGCTTCAGCAGATGCAAGTACCTTTCTGGGGGAGGGGGTGTAAGCGTTTTAGCTGAATTTCAATTTTTATTCCCCAAGGTCGTTAGCCCTGGGGATATGGACGATGAGATGATAAGTTGAGGGATGAAAGGACAGCAGGCACATACAGACATACAAATACACCCATGCCCGAGGCGGCACTCGAACTCGCGGACTTCTAGTCCGAGACCACTTCGACACTACTGCCCTACTGATCTCGACCATCTGACCGGCTTTATTGTTAGATATTACAGGAATGAAAATAAATGTGATATTTGGTGTAAAATTGTATGGATTAAATTTTCTGAGACATACTCAAAAGTTGTGTCTGAATGTATTTCTTATAGCTCAATATCCTTTCAGGGACCGATTAACTTACGATTATTTCTGTGCTCAGCGTGCACTTTTACCACTCTGAGAACGCATGTGACCCTCTTAGTGACCTCGGGCACACGCTGCTGAGACAGCGAATCCAAGCTCAACGATATCCTCTTCTATGACAGTTTCCCAGTATCCATGCTGAAGTTCACCCAGAGTACCAGCCATGAAGAAATTATTCATCTTGGCTGCACTCGGTAAGTGTTTCACGTTAAATTTATTATATTTGCGTATTTTCGCCATCGGAAAATAGTAGCGAGATATGTTTCCAAATCATATGAAAAGTATTATGCGGTCGGCACTCCAAAAACTTTTGTTAAATGTACAGCAATGTAAATGCATAGGGTACTTAAAACGATTAACGTGTGATTAAATCGATTGACGAATGTTATGAGTGCGATAGAAATAAATGGTACGACTACAATGATTGCATTGTTGCGAAGTATAAGAGAGTTCAAAAGTCGTGCTTTCCAATTACCGCCCACTCTGATTCAACGGTACGTTTAATAGTGTATTATTTCCGCTCTTCATAGAATTTATCTCTTACTCTGATCATCAGTATGAGATGCGAGCCAACGACGCACTCATGAGTTTATACGAAATTGGATATTCGACATATGTACAGGAAGATGGCAGCACTGAGTTGCTTATTGTATATAAAAACCCGCGATTTGTAATGGGGAAGGGGAATCAAAAACTAAAAATAAGCGTGTTGCATGGAAGGGGGAGGAGAAAAGCTACAATTACTATCCAAAGTCAGAGCATAGTCCCTTCTCAACATTTGGTGAAGGAATTGATGGAAAAGGGATCTCTTCCATCGAGATGGATATAATACTTCATAATGAAGTCCTTTGTAATACTTATAGTACCGTACTACTATTTACTGTCATCGATTTATACTTTCATAGACGACACTTGCAATGAGTATACACAGATGAATATTTCTAGTCAGTGGTTTGTATTTGTATAAGCATATTTACAAACTTGCAACAGAAACTAGTTGTGCTCCAACAGCACATACTTTCTCACATTGTAACGATTACGGAATATTATAATCCTACTTCAACCAGCAAAATTATTTCCAACAAGCATTTTCCCACGCTGTGATTTGAACTCAGATTTTTAGATTTGGTATACCATTCACATATTCCAACACCAGCCCCACAGGTAAATAAATCTTTCCCCAAACATCAAAAACGAAGTTGAACATTGGCATCTGCAATTTTCAAAAATTCAGAGATTTTCATTCACATTATTTGAAATCTAATTTTAAACAACAGATGTCGTTAAAAAAAAGCTCTATCTTCAATATGGTAGTTGTAGAAAGGCGCCGAAAATTTTATAACTTTTTGAAATTTTCGAAAATACAAATTCAACGAAAATAGGACCTTTTCGACAGAAAAAAAACAACATTGTATTGCGAGGCCCTTATACCGAAAAAGGGGATATATCTTGTTCTTGTATGTTGTAAATTACTTCCTCAATCAAGCTGTGTACTCGGAATTCTCATTTTGTGTGGATCCTTCATACATAATAATTGCCTGGCGGCAAAACGTCTGACTGTCCGTGTATGTGTCCATCGGTGTGCAACGCTAGAGCCTAAACTTTTCTGACGATTTTCTGCAAAATAGAAATTCCCTCATCGAGCTGGCCGAACTGGAGTCCCTGAGAAATTGAAACCAATATTTTGATTTTTAGGGGACCTTTGCATTCAACCTTAATGACATTTTGAACATTGTCTAAAAAATGGCTCCAAATTTTTTGTTTAAACTTTTTCCTGGGAGAGCGTAAAGAGCGCTTATACAACGGAAATGGAGCGCGTCTCATTTCCGTTGAAATCTTTGAATTTTCGAAGGTTTAAAATGTAGAAACACGAAAAATCTCAATATTCATTACTGTAGTTGTAGGAAGACGCCGAAAAAAATGTTCACTTTTCTAATTTTTGAAACTTCAGAATGAGTCTCACACAAAGGTCAAATCTGCGTCATTTCTAAAGTCATTTTTTTACCAGGTTCTTTCTGAGAAAAAAAATACAAAAATTTGGAGCCTTTTGGAGGAAAGCTTGAAATTGATGTTAGGGCTTTATGTAAAGACCCCCCCCCCCCCCAAAACTAAAATATCCGTTTCAAATTCACCTCGAATCCAGTCAGATCGATCGGGGAATATCAATTTTCTCCAAAAGTATGTGCTTTTATTGCACCACTAGTTCATGAACGAGGGGACACAATAATTAATTATGAATTTTGGGCCGCTATAAGATCAAATACCGACACATGTTCTTTGAACCGTTCTTTCGTTTCTTTCAATCTGGCATGATGGCGAAGAAGTGTATCATTTTTTTTATTTTTAGTCGATGTAATCTGACTGTATTATCTTTAAGAAAAGGAAGTGATAGCACAGTGCATCAACATGTCACCATTAGCGTTGTATTTTAATACTCATAGATCTTCAAATTGTTGATTGGTTCAGCAAATGTTTCATACAATAGACCTTTATCTCACTACCAAGTGGCTGAAAAAGTCATGAACCATTACACCCACCACAAACATTTGGCCTCAAACGAACTGATGGGTAGTGAAATTTAAAAACGAAATCAAATTAATGAAATCCCTATCTTTACACGCTGAGAACGAAGTCTCCTCTCCTTGACCGTTTCGGTAGAAATTCCTTTAATTTCTACCCCAACCAAGATTTTAATATACACACGCGCGC